GAAGATTTGGCGTTTAGATATGGTTGGTTACAATATAGACAAATTTATGATGTATTTAAGAAAGATAAAAAGGATTTTGGTTTTAGGGGAAAAATGAAATTGAAAATGTGTGGTTTGAAGGGGGAAAAACAAATTTCTAAAATGTATAAGGTGTTATTGACTTGGTACACTGAAGAAGAAATGGTAAAGGAGCATATGTTAAAATGGGCAATTAATATGAATAAAGAAATATCTATGTCATCATGGGAATTTTTATGGAAGAATGCATTGAAAATATCAACATGTAATAATTTAAAAGAAAATTGTTATAAGATGATGTATAGATGGTACATGACGCCAAAAAAGATTGCAAATATGAACTGTAACATTTCAAATAAGTGTTGGAAATGTAAAAAATAGAAGGTTCATTATACCATATGTGATGGACTTGTGAAAAAGCGAAATAATTTTGGACTGATATACATGCAGAAATGGAAAAGATAACGAATAGTAAATTTAAAAAAGAACCAGAAATATTATTGTTAGGTTTAAAAATGGAAGAAGTTAACATGACAAAAAGGACATTAATGTGGTATATGATAACAGCAGCAAGAATAGTGTATGCTCAAAATTGGAAACTGGACAGAATACCAGGGGTAGAAGAATGGATTAAAAAACTGCTTTTTATGGTAGAAATGGACAAAATGACAAGAAAACTGAAAGATTTGGAGGCGGAAGAATTTTTTGCGGACTGGAAAGATTTTAAGGACTATTTAGAGAAATATTGGGATGTGAAGGACAATCTGATTTGCTTTGAAAATTATTAAGTGGATGTAAAAGAGAAAAGAAATGGACTTATAATGATATATATGTGAACATTTGTTACCTATAGCTATATGATAAAAGATTAGATACGTTAGAATTTAAAGTTTGAGCTGGTGGTGGGTACGCTGTTGGAAGCCTACGAAAAGGGGGGGAGTAAGAAGAAAAGGATATATATTGAAGTTGATATAATGTGAACGTGTATTATCCTAATAAAAGTTGTTTAAAAAAAACAACACATCACTACTGAACCTCATCACCTTTGTAATTAATTGCTCACCTCCCCAGTAAAATTATACAAGTTTCTGCTGCCATTTTGGTAAAACTAGCTGTTTAATGGGTTACAAACATATTTTTCTCATGCACATGCCAGTTATTAGAAAGTCTTAAGTGAGTATCTCTAAAGCACCAGGGGTGTCAAACATAAGGCCCGGGGGCTGGAACTGGCCTGTCCAGGGCTGTTATCCAGGCGTGAGCAACTGATGCAAGGGAGAGAACAGGAGGCTGCATCGGGGGCGGGGGGCAGAGCCACTTCGATTGTGGCTTCAACACAGTGGAACAACCTTGAGTACAGCAGCCAAGCAGAACCCCTTCACTTCAGTGGTAGCCTCATTGGTAAGTTGGGAACCACTGCAGCCGCTCTTGTGCCGGCTCACAGTTCCAAGGCAAGGTCACACACCTCTCCACTGGGCCTCCAGCTCCAGAGATTTTTTAAATTTTTATTTCTTTATTACATTTGATTTACTAGGCCGCCCTTCCCTACAGGTAGGGCTCAGGTCGGCTTACAACAATATTATCTAGTCACATACAACTACATTAAAAACAGTCCAATAAATAACAATAAACAAAAACAGTATATATACACAATACTTAAGATGGCAGAAAATCCTAACTCCCCGGCCTCCCTGGGGGGAGGGGCTATGAGGAATGAGGAACCACATAAGAGTGCCAGAAGAAGTCCTGTCACTGTTCTCAGCCAAAAGCCTGGCAGAACATCTCTGCCTTACATGCCCTGCGGAAAGGTAACAGCTCCCGCAGTGCACAGATTTCTTCCGGCGGAGCATTCCACCAGGCAGGGGCCAGGGTTGAGAAGGCCCTGGCCCTGGTCGAGGACAGCAGGACCTCTCTCGGGCTGGGGACCACCAGCAAGTTCTTATTTCCTGAGCGTAATGCTCTTCCAGGGGCATGCTGGTCTGGATGTCCATGGAGATCAGCATTTGCATGTGGGGGGTACAGACGATCCTATGCTGGGGCCAGTGCTGCTGCCATATTTACACCCCCATGTGGTGGCTGCGCTTTGGTCCATGGGGGGCCCTTCTTTGACAGTTTCTTCCACACATTGGGGGCCTAGTTTTGCCACCAAGCACATGACTCAGCAGCTGGGCCTCCCTCCCCCTTGGCCCACCAAGTTGCTTTTCATGGTGGCTTGGGAGCAGGGGGAGCTCACAACACCCAGACACTTAACATTTTTACCCTGGGGCCTAGGCTCACAGCAGGTAGGAGCAGGATGGGGAAGGGGTTTGTTCTCCCCTCCAAGCAGTGCAGGAGCTGCACCACTGGCTCTCCTGTCCACCCATGAGGGTTTTCCTCTGTACCCCCCAGCCCATGGTACATTGCAGTGAGGATACACGAACTCAGAGCTTACCAGGTGCTGTCTTTTATAAAGTTTATATCTCTGGTACTTGGTATCACATTTTATGGCACACATGGCTTGGCCTCACAAAGTCACATTTCTGTCAGATCCAGCCCTCATAACAAATGAGTTTGATGCCTATGCACTATATATTTGACTGCACAATAATGAGCAGAATCTTCAATTTCCATTGAATGACAAATGTACATTCTCTGATCCTTCCCAGTACTCATTCATCTACTTTAGCAGATTTTATAGTCTGAGAACATAGAACAGCTTTTCAATCACATGAGCAATAAATTCAGTCAGATTATGTTGTACCTGCAATTTAATTTTAAACATTTTGGATCGAGAGAAAATGTGGATGGTTTGTGTGTGTCTACTACATTGGTTTGTGTTGCTAATTCTCTGAGGGGGAAATGCTTAGTTATGCTTGAATGTTTACCCATTTGGCTCACATTTCACTTGCTGGTTGTGAGTAGGGATGCATTTGGTAAGCTGTTCAAAATGTGTTTGACAGAATATGGTTTTTTCCAGTTTCCACAATTACCCTGTTTTCTTACAACTTCCTCCCAGGTTCTGAGGAGTACAGAACCTCCTCTCGCCCCAGTAACCACTTGCTTCCCTGCAGACCCTCTCCCCTAGTATTTTTCTCCCAATTACGTTCACTTCTGGTATCAGAGCTCAACTCAGGAGAAATGCACTTGTGGAAAATGACTCCAAGGAAATAAGTGGGGAAGGTTTGTATGCCCAGTCTGTCTGCCCATTTCTCCCCCCAGGGATATTATTTATTTCAGCTTTGTATTTATTTCAGCTCTGTTTATAATTGTTTTAATGATGTGTGTTTTTTGTGGGGTGGTGGTTTTAAATGATTTTAATATGATTTTATTAGGCATGTTTTATTTTATTTTATTACAATAATAATAAAAATATTGTATTACATATACATAATTTTATTATGTATGTTTTAATTTGCCTTGGTAGCTCTTGTGGGGACAGAAAGGTAAGATATAAATCTTGTAAATAATAATAATAATTTCTACATGTTTATGGCAGATCCAGGTTTAAACAACTATCTGCTGCTGTCACATCTAATTTGGCCCTTCCAATAACAATTAACACTTATCAATATATAACTCTTTAACATACTAATATATAAAATGCTTATATACTAATTTTTTAATTGAGCCTGGCCATTTGCTTAAAAAGGAAAGGCAAATGTTTACTAATATTTATCTTGAAAGGGTGATGATGACTGATAATTCTTTTTAAAAAGTTTCTATTGTATACCTGGTTGAAAATAGACTTGGGCAATTATAGAGCGACACAGAGGACATGGAGCGCTGGTTGGGTTCTCTTTGGCAAGTGTGCGCAGGCAAGGTTCACAGAAGATATGGTGGCAGGGGTAGCACATGTGAGGATTATAATAAACATCCAGGCATACTGCACAGAGGTAGCTTTCTTTGTCTCTTCTGTATTCATGCTCTTCTTCTGTTTTCAGGTTATCATTCATGGTCTACAAGGAAACCCCCCCCCAAAGATGCATTAAAATATTTCCATCAATTATGTAGGATATACAATTGCATAATATCATCCAAGTGAATTATGAAAGTATGTACTGAGGTTAACATTATTTCAATGCAATAACCCTCATATGAAAATGAAAACAACAACAACAATATACTGATTTTTATCCCTTAAGGAGAACACAGATTGTGGACTTTATGTGAAAAAATCAAAGAATCACACTCTAGAGGTGTAAATCAAAGTGCGTGACTGTTTTGCTTCACTGAATCAGTCAATTACCACATTCTTACAAAGATCCATGTAAGGCGTTTTTCAGCACTTCATGTGATCTTTATTTACTTAATTTATATCCTGCCTTTCTCCCCAGTGGGAGACCAAATCAGTTTATATCACTGTCTTCCTTGGGGTCCTCAACACCAAATCCAAGACCACCTCTGTCAGTTCAGCCAGGGGCCCCACTAGGCAGGTGATGCAGCAGCAGGATTCCTCACCTGTCTTTGGTGACCAATACAAGGTACATACAATCAAAGCTGGTTTCTGTCTGCACTGGGGATTTTATGCTGGAGAAAGACTCACAACCCCCACCCCCCAAAAAATACTTAACCACCACATCTTCCACTTTGAGCTTGATGAAAGACCTTATATTTGGCCACTGCCAGCTGTGCCAAGATGACCACATCAGATTAATCAAACTAGGCCAGGTCCCCTGTTCCTCATACAACCAATCTGACACTACAGAGATTTTATTTTTTCACAGACCTGATACTGCACAGCACCAAAATCAAAATGGAGCCTAGGCACCTGCATTTCCCCTGATAAGATGGAGTTTAGACCTGCAGAGAGCACCTTTCCACCCCATACAACACCTCAATCAAAGATGGAACAACAAATATGATAAGACACAGCTGGAACCACCTTCCTGCTCCAGCCCCCAGACAATGTAAACCTGCAAAAATAGGACTTTATATCAGCTTCATATCTTCTTTGTTTCAATTATGAAGGAGTTACAATATTAAAAGACCCTTAATGCATGGCCATCCTGTATGAAGGCAGAAAAGAAGCATGAAGATAGTTTTGAATTGCGGAAACATTAGAACGGTAGAAATGCTCGACAGAAATCAAACCACTAGAAAGCAACAAAAATAAAAATATTATCTAACTTTGTCTGAACCAGATAAGCTTCTGTTTTGGGGCCTAGCCAATTTCTGATTTATCTGCTCCTAACTAAAGACCTAAAGAGCCTCTTGCTCAGGGTAAAAGAGGAGAGCGCAAAAGTGGGCTTGAAGCTCAACATCAAAAAAACTAAGATAATGGCATCCGGCCCCATCACTCACTGGCAAATAGAAGGGGAAGTCGTGGAAGTAGTGACAGACTTCACGTTCCTGGGATCCCAGATCACCGCAGACTGTGAAAGCAGCCATGAAATTAAAAGACGCCTCCTGCTTGGGAGGAAAGCGATGGCGAACCTAAACAGCATGATAAAAAGTAGAGACATCACCCTGCCAACAAAAGTCTGCATGGTCAAAGCAATGGTATTCCCAGTAGTCATGTATGGCTGCGAAAGTTGGACTATAAGGAAGGCTGAGCGCCGAACAATAGATTCTTTTGAACTATGGTGCTGGAGAAGACTCTTGAGAGTCCCTTGGACTGCAAGAAGATCAAATCAGTCGATCCTAAAAGAAATCAACCCTGACTGTTCCCTGGAAGGCCAGATAATGAAACTGAAGCTCAAATACTTTGGCCACCAAATGAGAAGGGAGCACTCACTGGAGAAGACCCTGATGCTGGGAAAGATTGAAGGTCAAAGAAGATGGGGACGGCAAAGGATGAGATGGTTAGACAGTGTCATAGAGGCAACGAACATGAAATTGAGCAAACTTCAGAGGACGGCGGAAGACAGGAAGGCCTGGCGTGATCTGGCCCATGGGGTCGCGAAGAGTCGAACTTGACTGTGCAACTGAACAACAACAAACTTACCATACACCTTACAAAAAGATCAACTTGTTGTATGGGTCACCTTTGCTGCCTGATTTTTTTAAAAAAATGTATCAAAGCTTGACTTCCAAGAGAAATTTGACTTTTTAAATAAATAAAATAAGTAAGTTGGCTCAGGTCTTCCTCTCAATTTAGATGAATGATAGGCAATATTTTATTTGCTTTGGTCAGGTGTATTTTTCTGTCTACCACTACCCTTTTTGGATGAAAGGATGGATATTTATCTATTTGCATCCTGCTTTTCCTCCAAAGCAGTTCAGAAATGTACTTTAGCCTTAGAACAATCCTATGAAGTCAGTTTGGCTGAGAAAGAGCATTTCACCTGCAAGGAAGTTATAAAGTATACAGGCCAACAGTACAGCAAGGCTTATGCCCACAACCTTTAACACTATGGAACCATTTTATTATTACTTCAACCTGTTCCTCTGGCCTGTTTTTAATGACATGTGTTTATGGCCTGGTTTGTTTTTAATGGCTGTATTGTTTTATTGTATGGTTTCACTTTGTGAGCCGTCTGGATTGACATAGAAGAGTCACCATAAATATGTTGTAAAGAACAATAATAACAGCATCCACAATCTTTGCCTGCTGTCCATTGTTATTAAATAGTGGAGAGTGTATTTCATTGGTGAATAAACCTCCCAGTTTATCTTACATCCCTCCAACTCACCAAAGCAACTGCAGTTACAGCTCTTCTCATACAAAATGCTGCATAGGCACTCCAACAGTATACAATGAGTATACACAGCAAGGAGGACAAAAGTATGAAATTCAATTGGACCAGAGGAGGGAAACTCCACCAAAATCCTTTGATAGCCAAAGAAGTGAGCCTTCTGAATTAGACCAGCGCATCCTTTGAGGCTTTTGTGCTGAGGTTTGGTATTCAGTGGAGCTGCGGTGGCTCAAGTGGTTAAGATGCTGAACTGCAGGCTGTGGAAGGTCGGTAGTTCAGCAGTTCGAGACCCATGTGTGCCACATTACAGAGTGAGCTCCCGTCTCTAGTTCCAGCTCCTGCCAACCTAGCAGTTCGAAAGCAAGAAATTGCAAGTAGGTAAATAGGTACCACTTCAGTGGGAAGGTAACAGCGTTCCATGCGCCTTGGTGTTTAGTCATGCCGGCCACATGACCACGGAAATGTCTTCGGACAGCGCTGGCTCTTCGGCTTGGAAACGGAGAGGAGCACCACAACCCTAGAGTCGGATTCGACTGGCTTTCGAGCAAGGGAACCTTTACCTTTGGTATTCAGTATAGTGTTATATTATTTTAGGCTTCTAGAAAGTGTATGCTTAAAATCAAGGCCAGCCAAAGAGGTCAAAGGCTTCATATTAATTTATTTATTTTTATTTATTTTATTTACAGGTGATTTATATACCGCTCATAACCCCTAGCGGGTCTCAGAGCGGTTTACAATGTGCTACTATATAGTAGCGAGTAACCTATCTAGGGCCACATATGGTGAGGGGGGGGACAGCCTACCAGCACCCTTGATACGGCACTGTCTTCCGTTCGTTCGGCAGCTTCCTTGGTGTGTGTTGTTGTTGCTGTTGTTGTTTCTGCGACCCGGCTGCCGTCGGCTGGACGAGCTGGCTGTTATTCTTGGAGCGGCGTGTCTTTCCTCGGGCACAGCCTCGGCTAACGACGAAGCGGCTCCTGCCGTGCTGCGTCCCGCGTTCTGACGTCGCTCCAACTCTACGTCCAACTCCGCCTTCGACTCCGCCTCCACCATTGCTCGAGCCAGTCACCGCCGTTCTGGGTCGCTTCACCGTTTCTCCGCCGCCGCCATTTCTTTCTCGCTGCTGCCGCCGATTCGATCCTTTTTTCGTCACTGCCGGTCACCATCCCAGCACAAGGCTGGGAGGAGGGTGCCCCCTGCCACCTAGGGCAGGTACCCATTCCTCTGATGTTAACAGAGCCGCTGGGTTGGCGGGAGCTGGGACAAGGGCGGGGGGCTCAACCCGGCCGCGGTGGGGAATCGAACAGCCTTCCGGCTGCTCGTCCAGATGTTAACAGCAGGCGTTAATAATTATTAAGTCAATAACTCACTTGCACCGCCCCTTGCATTTGGCTCCTTACTAAAATACAAGTCAAAAACATCAAGGAGAACAAAGTAGGTTAAGAAGCTCTTTGGAGCTATGAATGGCAAAGAGTGATATCTTCCTCTCAGGCTTTTCTGCTTCAGCTTGGGAAAGAAGTCCGCCATATAAATCTTGCCTCTGCAACGAAAGGGGCTTTTGGCAAGCTATCTGCCTTACCTCCCCACTTGCCATATGTGTGTGTGTAAAGTACCATCAAGTTACAGCCAACTTAGGACAACCCCACAGGGTTTTCAAGGCAAGTTATTAAGCAGAGGTGGTTTGTCATTGCCTTCCTCTGCAAAGACTTCCTTGGTGGCCACCCGCCTTAATACCAACCTGCTTAGCTTCTGAGATCTGAGGAGATCAGGTTATACTATGCCATTCAATGTCCCACTTGCCATATAGGGGTGATGATAATAGTGGCCTAACTTGCTGCTGTTGTAAGAATTATTAAGATAAGCTGTGTGAAACATTTTGTACTGTCTAAAGTGCTGTATAAATGTTAACATGCTATATAAACTGGCCAGATGACTATTTGTCAGAAAACTGTATGTCATTAATATTAATTTCTCAAATTTTCACACATAATGGGATTTGGTGGTACCCAGCTATGCAGTTTTGAAGAACTTAGGGTACTTGAGTATTCTTGTGATGGGTTGGTAGTTTCTGCTGATTCCCGTTTCTGCTACAGACCCCTGAAATGTTGTTCTGGGGTTCAGTGGAACCTCAGAAACCAGACATAAGGTAAACTGGGAGTCTGCAGTGGAAGGGAGAAAAGTTTTTAAATGTGTGATAGAAGAAGAGGAGGAGGAGGAGGAGATTGGATTTATACTCCGCCCGTCACTACCCAAAAGAGTCTCAGAGCAACTTACAATCTCCTTTCCCTTCCCCTCCCCACAACAGACACCCTGTGAGGTAG